ATCCCTCCAGCATGCAATGCATCGCTCCGCTTACCCAGAAGGCTGCTTTCTTGTACGCCGCCTTGATCTCCTCCCTACTCGCAAAGGGCGACACGCCCAACACCACATAGTGGCCAACCAGGAAGTGGCTGCCCTGCCCTCAGTGGGTGCTGTCGGGGTCGGGGCGGACAGTGCCGTCGGGGTGTCGGCAGAGGGAAGCCGGGCAGTTGAATGAGAACTGCATCATCTCCAGCACCCCGACTGTCTCGGCCGGCCATCTCGTCTTCTCTTCCGAAAACGCAGCGCTGGTGAGAGACACAGACAGACACGCAGACCTCGACATTTCTCACACCAGGTGGTGGCCTCTTACTGTTCAGGGAGTGGATAACCATCGGAGTCATCCATGTCAGTCACGAGAGAGCCTCAGAAATATAAAATGCAGACGGCGATCGATATCCTCCTTGGCCTTCCTGCAGAGAGACACGGCAGGTGTGCATCAGATGTCCATAGCTTTGTGTCGAGTGCCGCCCTCTCCTCTGCCGCCCTCTGCCGTTCTTTCTTCTCCTTCCGCCGCTGATTCCTGCTCTTGCGCTTGATGGGTGCCTTGCCGCCACCACTGCCCCCAGCTGCAGCTGCGGGAGCTGGAGCTGCTGCTGCACCCGTTACTCCTCCCTCGCCGTGGCTGTCGTCTCGCTGCTGCTTCTTCAACACCTACACACAACACACACAACACACAACACACAACACACAACACACACAACACACAGCCAAAGAGGGATGGCGGAAATGGAGAGTCGGAGATCCATCTGTGTGTGTGTGTATGTGTGTATGTGTGGGTGTGTGTGTGAGGGGTGGGGGACAATGTCACCTCCTGTCGCTTGTTGTCCTCCTCCTGGTCCTTGCGACGCCGCTCCTCCATGTTGGTCCTCTGCCTTCGAGCTTCCTCTCGGTGGCCGCCGAAGCGGCCAAATATGCGGAGACAAAAATGGAGAAGAGAAGGAGACATGAGCGAATGAATGTTGATAAGCCTCTTCTTTTGCCCCTCACGTACGTACCTTCGGGGCCGCCGGGGAATCTTGGATCAAGTAGAAGGGGCCCAACGATTGCTCTGAACACACAGACGCGAGACACGTGGAGTGGAGTCGATCAGTCTATTTTGGCAGCTCACCTTCGATGCGCACACAGCGGGCCAAGGCGGTACGTGTACCCTATGACGTCCATTCCATCCCTCCAGTGTGTGTACCCTTTGTACGTGTACCTTATAACGTTCCTTCCATCCCTCCAGTGAGTGTGTGGACTTGTACCCTACATTCCTTTCATCCCTCCAGTGAGTGTGTGTACGTGTACCCTATGACGTCCCTTCCATCCCTCCAATGAGTGTGTGTGGACTTGTACCCTATGACATTCCTTCCATCCATCCAGTGAGTGTGTGTGTACGTGTACCCTATGACGTCCCTTCTACCCTATGACGTCCCTTCCATCCCTCCAGTGAGTGTCTACGTGTACCGTATGACATTCCTTTCATCCCTCCAGTGAGTGTGTGTACGTGTACCCTATGACGTCCCTTCCATCCCTCCAGTGAGTACGTGTACCCTATGACGTCCCTTCCATCCAGTGAGTGTGTGTCTACGTATACCCTATAACGTCCCTTCCATCCGTGTACCCTATGACGTCCCTTCCATCCCAGTGAGTGTGTGTACGTGTACCCTATGACGTCCCTTCCATCCATCCAGTGAGTTTGTGTACGTGTACCCTATGACGTCCCTTCCATCCCTCCAGTGAGTAAGTACATATACCCTATGACGTCCCTTCCATCCATCCAGTGAGTGTGTACGTGTATCCTATGACGTCCCTTTCATCCATCCAGTGAGTGTATGTACGGTGTACCCTATGACGTCCCTTTCATCCATCCAGTAAGTGTGTGTACGTGTACCCCCCTCCAGTGAGTGTGACCCTATGACGTCCCTTCCATCCATCCAGTGAGTGTCTACGTGTACCCTTTGACGTCCCTTCCATCCAGTGAGTGTGTGTGTACGTGTACCCAATAACGTCCCTTCCATCCCTCCAGTGTGTGTCTACGTGTACCCTATGACGTCCACGTGTACCCTATAACGTCCCTTCCATCCATCCAGTGAGTGTGTGTACGTGTACCCTATAACGTCCCTTCCATCCCTCCATCCCTCCAGTGAGTGTCTACGTATACCCTATGACGTCCCTTTCATCCATCCAGTGAGTGTGTGTATGTGTACCCTATGACGTCCCTTCCATCCCTCCATCCCTCCAGTGAGTGTCTACGTGTACCCTTTGACCTTCAGTGAGTGTGTGTACGTATACCCTATGACGTCCCTTCCATCCATCCAGTGAGTTTCTACGTGTATCCTATGACGTCCCTTCCATCTCTCCAGTAAGTGTGTCTACGTGTACCCTATGACGTTCCTTCCATCCACCCAGTGAGTGTGTATACGTGTACCCTATGACATCCCTTCCATTCATCCAGTGAGTGTGTGTACGTGTA